GCAGAGGGAACAGGAGGCAAGGGACTGGGGTGTGCAGGCCTCCTTTGCCACTCCTGCCCACAGCTTTGCCACCTCCTAGGCTCTGGATGCTGTCCCTGGTGCTCTCCCCACTGCTCCCCTGCACCAGCAAGAGGCTGGCAGCCAGCCTTTCCTCCACTCCCCTCTAACGCTGCCATCTCCCCGGGTGATCCAACTTCGTCAGTCCTCTTCATTTCATGACCCCGCGATAGCTTCACCCTTGCCACCAAGGGTCAGTGCCCCATCGACCTTGAAAGCTTTTTAAATTTTTTATCTTTAAAAAAGATTTTATTTATTTATTTGAGAAAGAGAGAGTGAGAGGGAGAGAGCACGAGCAGGGGTGGGGAAGTCCAGAGGGAGAGAGAGAAGAGGCTCCCCACCAAGCAGGAAGCCCCATGTGGGACTCGATCTCAGGACCCCAGGATCATGACCTGAGCCAAAGGCAGATGCTTAACCAACTGAGCCACCCAGGCGCCCCGAGATTTTTAATTTTTTAGAAAAGATTTTATTTATTTATTTATTTATTTGAGAGAGAGAGAGAGATCACAAGTAGGCAGAGAGGCAGGCAGAGAGAGAGGGGGAAGCAGGCTCCCCGCTGAGCAGAGAGCCCGATATGGGGTGCCCTGAGATTTTTAATTTTTAATCCAGGTGCCCTGAGATTTTTAATTTTTAAAATTGACGGGACGCCTGGGTGGCTCAGTGGGTTAAGCGGCTGCCTTCAGCTCAGGTCATGATCCCAGCGTCCTGGGATCGAGTCCCACATCGGGCTCCTTGCTCAGCGGGGAGCCTGCTTCTCTCTCTGCCTCTGCCTGCCATTCTGTCTGCCTGTGCTCGCTCTCTTTCCCTCTCTCTCTGACAAATAAATAAAATCTTAAAATTGAGGCCTAACACACAGATAGCAGGGAGGATCACGTGCTTAGGCATACGGAGCCTTGGCATTTCCCATTACCCTGCCGAGGCCCCCTGTGAGCTCCTTCCTGGGTCTCTCAGTCAGGACCCATCATGGCAGTTAGGAGGCCCCCCTTGTTATAGAAATCATACAGCACGTAAATGTCGTGTGTGCGTTTGGCTTGCTTTCCCACAGCCTGGGATCTATAGGATCGGTCCCCTAGGGCTGTTAGTGGCTTTCTCTTTTTTCTTGCCACTTATTATCCGGCTCTATGGAGAAACTGCAAAGGATTTATCCGTTCGATGTGGATGGCCATTGGGGTTGTTTCTGGATTTTTGTCCCTTTGAGTGAATCTTCTGTAAACATTCCTGTACCGGGGTCTTCGCACAGACATGATGCTCTCATTTCTTCCCAGGGGATACTCAGGGACAGGATTACTGGGTCATAGGGCAAGCCTATTGAATTAAGAGTACCCTTTGGCTGTTGCTAGGAGTTCCTATCGCTGGCGCATGGTCGAGCTACCTTGGCCCAGTTTGCTTGCATCTGTGTGACCTCATTCTGTTCTCATCAAACCCCAGTGATGCTGGCTGAGCAAATATTGCCACCACTGGACATGGGACCTCGGCTATTTGCCTCCGCACCTACAGCAGCTCAAGGTTCAAGTTCAGAGGGGTTCAAAGCTCTGGAGAGGAGCGAGAAGCACAGAACTCTGAGATTACAAAGTTGTTTCCTATGGGAAGCGAGAGCTGAGTTCCAGAAGGTCTTACATGCTTTGAAATCAGAGTCTGCTGGAAGCTGCCAGCAAGTGACAGGGGCTGGCAAGAGAGTGGGACTCAGCTGTGCCCTTGGCAGCCCAAGAGGGCCTTACAAGTTCTGTATTGGAATTGTTCTGCTATTTTAGGTTGGACAATAGCATTGAGGGGGGGTTATGTGTGGGGGGTTATGTTTTTTTAAAAGAAACCTTTAACTTTTAGACATCTTTACTCAAGAATGCGAGGACAGGGGCACCTGGGTGGCTCAGTGGGTTAAAGCCTCTGCCTTTGGCTCAGGTCATGATCTCTGGGTCCTGGGATCAAGCCCCACATAGGGCTCTCTGCTCAGCAGGGAGCCTGCTTCTCCCCCTCTCTCTGCCTGCCTCTCGGCCTACTTGTGATCTCTCTCTCTCTCTGTCAAATAAATAAATAAATAAATAATCTTAAAAAAAAAAAAAAAGAAAGTTAAAAAAAATCGCAAGGACAGAACAGTAGGATTTCTGGATTTGCTTTAAAGAAATCCAGAGGCAGTGGCCGGGGTAGAAACAAACAAGTTTGATCCTCACTTGGTAATTGTTGAACCTGTTTTGTTCAAGTATCCAAGACTGCATGATACTGATCTCGTTAATTTTTATATGCTTGCTTTTTTCCATAAAAGGATAGAGTTAAAAAAAAAGCAGGAGATTTCTTAATGATAATGAAGACAGTAGGTGCATTTATTATTATTTTTTTTAGATTTTATTTGTTTGAGAGAGAGTGAGTGAGAGAGAGCACACAAGCAGGGAGAGGCAGAGGGGGAGGGAGAAGTGGACTCCCTGCTGAGCAGGGAGCCCTGTGTAGGGCTCCATGCCCAATGGGGGGATCATGACCTGAGCTGAAGGCAGACATTGAACTGGCTGAGCCCCCCAGGCGCCCTGACAGTAGGTGCATTAAAAAAAAAAAAAAGGTTCCCTATCGCCAGGCTAGGCAGCTGCTACACTATGTTCCATTCAAACTGGGGCAGAATAGAAACAAACAAACAAACAAACAAACAGAAACGGAGCTTGAGAAAGATTACTCCAGTTTCTGAGGCCAACTCTGGGATATTTTTGGCCCAAAGGGAACCCAGGATCTGACAGGCCTGGAGCTCCCCAGAGGCCTAGTTCCTGGGGTTTTTATTAATAGCCGCTGCTAAGCCGCCCTGGAGAGCTGCATGCCGGGGGAGCAGAGCCTGGGCAGGCGAATGAAGCCTCTGGAAGTGCTTGCTGCTGGCGGGCGGGGGTGGGCTCGCCAGGTGATCCGGCGACCCGGTGGCCCCCAGGACCGCGGTCCCGCCCTTGTCCCTGCCTCACCCGGCCTGCAGGTGGCACCGAGGCGGCGCGCGGGGAGGGGTGCACAGTCAAGGCCGCAGAGCCCTGGGAAACTACAGGGCGCGGGACTAATCCCAGAGGGGAGCACGGCGAGACTCCAGTGAGGAAGAAAGTGACCTTGGGCCGGGACCTGCAGGCTGATGGCCGGGGTTCCGGGGAAAGGGCATCTGAGGTGAGGGTGAGAGTCCAAGGCACAAGCCAGAAGGCCTCCGTGTTATGATCGCGGAGCGGAGGACGCAGGTGCCGGCTGCCGCGCGCTCTGAGCAGGTGGGCCCTGGCCCAGTCCACCTGCTTTCTTGGGCGGTGAAATCTGGAGGGGAGGGGAGGCCTGGGACCGCTGGGGGTGGGGGGTGGGGAACAGACCCAAGCCCGCAGCGGCAGGAAATCTTCAATTTCTAACTTCAAAGAAATGCAAATTAAAATAAGGAGCGTTATCTCCCGCCCTGTCCTTGAAGATGGGCAGAGATGGAAAGAACTGACAGTGACAGTCAGCGCTGATGAACTCCCAGAGACGGCTGCATTCCCACGCCTGGGTGGGAGTAGATGTTAGTAAGCTTTTCTCAGGGTGGCTCAGCAAGGGACACCAGTATGTCACCCAAATGTCACAGGAGCCTGCTCTCTGACTTGGTTGCTTTGCCTCTAGGGACCTACAGAGAGAAAGCAGAGCTCAGAGGGGCACGGCGACAATCTGGTGCCGCTTTATTTATACCTGCAATGGTGAAAAGGGGGTTTAAGCGTCCATGGGGCGGGCTAAACCCTGCAAAAGAGGAAATCATCTCCGTCTCCACAGGGAATTCTGTGCACGACATAAGCCAAGTGAAAACAAGAGTGTTAAAAACAGCACCTATCCTGAAACTTCATTTAAAACAGCTCGGAGAGCGCGTGCACCAATAGCTAAACGGTGGCCGTGGCAGTGAGGGGGGCGGGAACAAGAAAGAACTTTCATTTTCTCTTCTAAGCCTTTCAGTGGTAGCCACCAAATAATGCAGACCGAAAGATGGAGGCAAGCATGGGTTTTTAATAGCCAGAAGGAGTCACTGACCTTTAGGAGAGCAGGGTCTCTGTTTCTAAAACTGGTGCATTTATGGAGCACCTGCTGTATGCAGGACCACCAGCTAGAGCCTGGGAACATTTCAGACAAATAGAGGGAAGGGGGGGTGAGGTTGGAGGGGAAACACTGCCGGGTCTTCTCTGAGCCCATGTGGCGGGTGTCCCCCCCCCCCCCCGCCCCCCGCCCCGCCTAGACTTCTGGGATCTGCCAGTGAGCAGTGTCCACTCCTGGCCCCTCTCCTGAGTTCAGTGTCGCATACAAGGGTCTCTCGGTCATTCTGTCCCCACCTTCACGCATGTCTTTCCCCAGCAGGTAGAATGCTCCAGGCGCCTGAATAATTAATCTACCAAATCTTATCAAAGCCCTGGAGGGAGGTATTTTTCTCCCAGTTAGATAAGGAGGAAGCCCGGAACCGTTCCTGGAATTCGCCGTGGCGTGTTGGCTCTGCTGACCACGCGGCCTCGGGATCGCCTCAGCGGTCACTCCGGGGATCGGGTCCGATTTGGGGCGTGGGCTCTGGAGTCAGACCTGGCCCCAAAGTCGGATCCATTTTTTTAGCTGTGTGGTCGTGCGCTAGCGCGGGCTGGGACCACCTATTTATAGGGCGTGCTTTGAGGATTACAGGTGGCAATGGCTGTGAAGGGCTAGCCTGATCCAGACACCGTGCTGAGCGCATTTATGGGCTTGGCCCACATGAGTTGGCCCATTTTTCAGATGAGAAAACGGAGTCTCCAGGGTGAGGAATCTCGCCCGGGGCCCCGTATTGGCAGGGGGCGGAGGTGGCTTGCTCCTCGGCAGCCTCAGTTTCCTCACGCGACAGGCTCCCCTAGAAGCCACGGAGGCCCCGCCCGGGTCCCGCCCCCCGCCCGCCCAGCGCCGGGAGTCTCAGCCCCGCCCGCACCGCGGCCCCGCACGCTCCAGCCAATCGGCGGCGACCGGCGTCGGGTGCACTCGGCCTCGCCCGCGGCCCTCCAGCCCCCGGCTCTCGCGCGCTGCGCTCTCAGTCCGCTGCAGCCTCCGCCGCCCGCGCCGCGCCTCCGCTCGCTGACTTGGTAAGGCTGGGCCGGGGCTGCGCGCGCGGGGAGGGCGGGCGAGCGGGCGCGGGCCTGCGGGCTGCGGCGGGCTCCGGGGTGGGGCGGCCGGGGACTGCCAGGGCCCGGACCCCAGGGGGCAGCGGGCCGCGGCGCGGAGAGGGAACCCCTAGCATACCCAACCCCCCGGACGGCTGGGTTCGTCAGGAGCCCGAAATGGGAGCGCGGCAGGAACTCCCCACCTTCCGCCGTGGATTGGGTCGGGGGGGTTCCTCCCGGGAGCCCATCTGCTCGCGGGCCTCCAGTGCGGGTCTGGTGCGGCAGCGGGAGGGATGCTCAGCTCTCCGGACTTGGCAGGATGCGCCAAGTTCGGGACTCCCACTCCCCAGGAGTGGATTGGGTCTGGGGTACGTCCAAGGGTCGGTCGGCCCGCCCGCCGGTACAGTGCAGGAGCTGGAGGGATGCTTGGGTCTCTGGATTTGGCAGGATGCCTTCGGCCTGGGGCCACTAGGGACGCCGGCTCCCTTTTCCTCTCATCCCACCCCTCTCTTAGGAATGGATTGTGGCTGGGGGTCCGTCCGAGGGTCGCTGAAGCTGCAGGGGGGATGCTCGGCCTCCCAGACTTGGCGGGGCGCCACCAACCCCCTTTCGATCCCTCCGCATCCCTTCCCCCTTTGGGGGTGGATGGGGTCTGGGGGGCTGTGCTGGGGTCGCGGACTGGTCCCAAGCGGGAGCTAGAGGGACTCTGGAGCCTCGGGACTCCCCGGTGCGCCGTCCACCCACTTCCCCGGGGCTGCCCCCGCATTGCAGCCGTCGGGACACGCCCTTAATGCGGGGCTCCCGGCGCGGTCCGAGAGGCCGCCGGGAACGAGGTAGGGGCGCCCGGCCGGGGTCCCCGCTTGCGAGCGCCCCCCCCACCTCCGTCCCCGGTGCGGCGCTGGGTGCGGGGCAGGTGGGCGCGGACAGTCAGCCCAAGGTCGCGCCGGGCCCCCGAGCCGCCGCGCGGGGCTGGGGGAGGGGCGTCACGTGACCAGGCCTGGGCTCCCTCTCTGCCCGCGAGCCCGGACGGCGCGGTCAGGGCGCCGGAGCGACCCCGGCTCCCCGGTGCCGACGGACGCAGCCCCTAGCCTCCGCTCCCTCCGCGAGCCTACGGCCTGGCCACTTCCTTTCGTTTTGCTGGGAAAGGCCGTGGGTCAGCGTCTTTGTGATGTAAATTGGTGGCTGGCGTTCGTTCCGCTGCGGGAACGCAGGTGGGGGCCGGCCTTCCTCCTTCCACGCCGAGCCGACCCCGAGGAATCGGTCGGGTTCCGTACGGAACAGCCTCGGCACTCCGGACTCAGCACCAGGTTCTCGGTCCCTCTCGTGCTCCCGGTGTTGGAAAAATATTTTAAGGGTAGATTGTTGTGGGAAACTGGTAACTTTGTAAGTTACCGGACAAAATGAAAATCCGTTTAACCTTTTGAGACGTGTATTGTGTTACACCACCTTCGGGCACCGGCGTCCGGTTTCTGGTCATTCCAGATATTCAGGCGCGTTTCTTCTCTTCCGAACCTCCAACCAAGTGACTAAAACATGGCCGAGCTCCCCGGTCTTTTTGTGCCAGCAAGCATCACACCCCCTTCCCGGAGCACTGAAGGTGACTCCGGGGAACCGTGGCGTACGGAGGGGGACGGTAATGCAGATCGTGAGGCGAGGCAGTGCCCGGTTGTAAGTCATGTGGGGCCATCGTGTCTCATACGAGCTGGATGCAGCCCTCAGATCGCGGGTTTTGGGGGGTTGTGCCTCCGCGCGCCTCGGGGCTCCTCTTCGCCCAGAAACGACCGGTTTCCTTCCGGTGATGCACGGTTGGACCTGACCTTGCGCGCTGAACCCCACCTGTTGGAAACCCAGAAAAGGGCCATCTTTGGGCGTGTACACACTTTGGATCAGAGTGGCAGGACTGGCATCACGCACAGGCCGAAATAGCCTTTCAAGTTTGTACTGAAAACAAGTGGCCCAACCCAGAGGCCAAGGGAATAAACCTGGCGTCCCTGCTGCTGCCGCCCTTGGCCCGACCCTGGACCCGTGGTAAACCGGCGGTCAAGCCTAGGCCTCCAGGGAGCCCCCGGGGAGGGCCCGCGCTTATGCAGCCCCGGCCCCTCGTGCCCATTCATAGAAACACTGTTAATGTTTCCTTGGGCTTCCCTGCGAGTCCCTTCCGGACACGCTTGGGGCGCGCGGGGACGCGGTGCCGCGGTGCCTCCGTGGGACGGCATCGGGCGCGCTCAGCCCTTCCCTGTCCCCAGGGTTGGCCACGAGGGGCTCGGCCTTCCCACGGAGAGGCGCTGCGTGTCGCCGGGGGAGGAGGCTGGCAGCGCCGGCGATGCGCGCCAGCTCGCTCCGGAAGGTCTCTCCGAGCGGGGCGGGTGGAACAGGATCTGAGCGCCTGGGACGCGCCAGGCCGGGGGCGGGGCTCGCGGTAACCTTTCCCCTACTTTTCGCAGCCGTCACGTGACGCCCGCGGTGGGGGCGGGGCGGGGCGCGCCCGCCGCAGCTGCCCGCGGTGCCCTCGAGGACGCGTTCCAGGCGAGCAGTTAAAGACGCAGCCCGAGCTCCGGGGGCGGTGGGGCGGTGGGAGGCGGAAACGCGCGCGCGCGGCGGCCGGGGGCTGCTTCTGCACTTTGATCCGGGCGGCGTTTCCTTTGTTGGAGAAAAGCGTTCGTCGTTCTGCGTGGCTGGGGCTCCGGGCCGGAGTTGGGCTGCTGGTGGAAGCCTGACTTCGCTTCCGGAGGGACTCGTGCTTTCAGAGGTTCAAAGAAAATCGGCCTGGTCAGGCTGTGTTTCAGAGTCTCGGTCTTCTCCTTTAGCGAGGCCCCTCTTTTCCGAATGGCTCGAGCCTCTCCTGGGCTTCTGCTGCGGAGACTTTGTTGTTTTACAGAGAAGTAATACAAACCCGGGTCCGAAGTGACGTCAAGGCGCAGAGCTGGCCTCCCCGCCCTGTCCCCGCTCCCGAAACTACCCCACCGCCCTGACAGCCCTTTTGATGCCTGTAGGAGGACACTAGGCTGTACAGGGCGGGTTGTTTGTTTGTTTTTTAAAGTCTGTTAATTAACGCAGGTGAGAGGATGTTCTGTTGATTTCTGACACTCTGTTGCCTCTTCTGAACTTCACCTTTTACCCCGTGCAAATACTGGAGGACCTTCCCAGCAGACCCTGGGCCGAAGCCAACTGACCTTTTCGTGTGAAAGTGATTCAGACCCTCAGTTCTCCGGAATGTCCACCTTTTCTTCAGTGTTGTCTGGGTTGTTTTTCTGCTGAGGAAAGTTTTTGGAAGTTAATCATTGAAAGAAATGTTGCTGCTGCAATAGGCCGGGCTCTTGTGGTGTTTGCACGTGGGGGGCTGGGATGCAGGGTGGCCGCTGTTCTCCCTGGGAGAGACGATCCAGTGTTGTCCGACACCAGGTTACTTAGGTAAAAAAGAGGACTCCACACTCCCAGGGTGGGGGTCCACCCACCTGTCCCAGGAACCCGAGTGTCACCCTTGATTCTTTCGGACTGTCCCTAAGTCCCACCTGTTACCTTTGCTTCCCATGTGGCTCTTAAACTCATCTTTGTCCTCATTCCTGTGAGCCAAAGTGGATATTCAGATTTTATCTAATGGAAGAAGGTGTGAGACCCTTTCTCAGAGGGATTGGTGCAGCGGTGGGGTCCTTTGGGCCGTGCAAGGGAAGCGAGGAAGGAAGCCTTTGGGTTCTTCTACTGGGGACCCTTGCTCTACGGTGTTACCATGGCTGGGGGCTTCTTGGCAGAGGCCTGAAAGCTCGCTACTTCCTACATCAAGGGACCAGTGACCCCCTCCCCCAACCAGTATACTGGCTTCCTCTGGGGTTCAGGGTTCTTGATCTCCAGCGCACACACCTCTGTTCCGTTAGGATGCCCTGGTGGGAAATCAGTCCCATGAGGACCGGGGATGTCCAGTTTCTGAGGAGTCAAGCTAGGGGTTAATTCCTTTAATATAGAAGTTCCTCCCACCTGTTCCCCCTGCCCCACTAAAAAGCAACACATGCTTATATCAAAAGCAAACACAGAATTGCCTTTAAGAAATTGTCTTAGGCTAGAACCCAAACTCTACTTTTTATGAAAGACTTCCTCATTTATGAGATAATGCATCTGTCTCTAATTTTTCTAAATGTCAGCTCCTCTACTGCCCTTAAAAAGATTTAACATGAAGAGTTTTGGTTTCTTTCTGCTTTTTCAAAAGTGCCCTGTTGCATCATGGGAGGTACAATAAGGTATCTTAGAGATGAACCAGGAGCACTGCTACAAGCCGAATGCCAAAGTTAGATGCTCCGGGATGTATCCGATCCGGAGGGCGTTTGGGGAGCCAGGAGAGTGAGTGGGTGCGGGGGCGGGGTGTCTGGTGGAAAGGAGGAGGCAGATCCCCACGGAAACCCACGTTCCTGGAGCATGGGACCGCCTTTGGGAAGGTACAGTGTGTTCCTGCCTTAAAGGCCTCATGTGGTGTTGGGCCCATCACTTTGTGAGGGGTGGACGTTCTGCATGCTTTATGTGCCAGGAAACAGTCTTACGATAAGGTGATGACATTTGCTCAAGGTCTCTCTCTCTCATACACACACAGGCCTGAGTAAGTGGCAGAGCTGGAATTCGAATCCACATCTGCGTTCTCCCAAGCATGTGCTCCATCCCTCTAACAGGCTTCCTCCCCAGACTCCCGTGCAGGCCAAGCCCTCACCCCCCCACCCCACCCTGGCCCTCGAGCCGGCTGGATGTGACACTGAATCAGCCATGTGTGTTTCTCGGTTTTCAGTTCCTCATCTATCCAGTGGTGCCTCTGACCCCTGTCATTCTGTCTCACAGGAGGGAAGATCCGGTAAGAGAGGCTTCAAGCGTGCAAAATGGACGTGGGTTCTAGCAAATAATACCGTGGCCCCAGGCAGGTTTTATGGACCCGACTGAGCCGGGCAGTCCCTGGACTGGACCTGGGGCTTGACAAGTTCAGCTGCACTTCTGGGTGCAGAGGT